TTATTTTCAACAAAATTTGTTGATAACATCTCACCCACTCTCTCATTTGCTCTCTTTTTACATTGCTTCACCACTCTCTTAACCTCTCTCTTTTTCTCCATATACTCTTCCCTCCTTGCATCACTTCTACTTTGTAAAAACTTCCCCCATATGCAACTTTTTCTCCCTTACTACTCTCTTTACATCATCATTCCATCAATCGCTCCTCTTCCCTCCCACTTTCACTTTCCTGTAACCACAAACTTCTGCTGAACACTCTAACACTACATTTTTAAACCTACCCCATACCTCTTTGACCCCATTGCCTATGCCTCATTAGCCCACCTATCCTCCAATAGCTGTTTATATCTTACCCTAACTGCCTCCCTTTTAGTTTATAAACCTTCACCTCTCTCTTCCCTGATGCTTCTATTCTCTTGTATCCCATCTACCTTTTACTCTCAGTGTAGCTACAACTAGAAATGGATCTGATATATCTGTGGGGCCCCCCTATAAACAAGTACATCCTGAAGTCTACTCAACAGTCTTTTATCTACCAATACATAATCCAACAAATACTGTCATTTTGCCCTACATCATATCTTGTATTTCTTTTTTATCCTCTTTTTCTTAAAATATGTTTACCTATAACTAAACCCCTTCTATACAAAGTTCAATCAAAGGGCTCCCATTATCATTTACACCTGGCACCCCAAACTACCTACCACACCCTCTCTAAAAGTTTCCTCCTACTTTAGCATTCATGTCCCCTACCACAATTACTCTCTCACTTGGTTTAAAGGCTCCTATACATTCACTTAACATCTCCCAAAATCTCTCTTCTCTACATTCCTCTCTTCTCCAGGTCATACAAAGCTTATTATGACCCACTTTTCGCATCCAACCTTTACTTTAATCCACATAATTCTTGAATTTACATATTCATATTCTCTTTTCCCCCTTCCATAACTGATCCTTCAACATTACGCTACCCCTTCCTTTGCTCTAACTCTCTCAGATACCCAATTTAATTTCCCCTTTATTTTCCCCCCCCCCGAAACTCCCCTACCCCCTTCAGCTTTGTTTCGCTTAGGGCCAGGACATCCAACTTCTTTTCATTCATAACATCAGCAATCATCTGTTTCTTGTCATCCGCACTACATCCATGCACATTTAAGCATCCCAGTTTTGTAAAGTTTTTCTTCTTCTCTTTTTTAGTAAATGTCTACAGGAGAAGGGGTTACTAGCCCATTGCTCCCGGCATTTTAGTCACCTCATATGACACGCATGGCTTACAGAGGAAAGATTCTTTTCCACTTCCCCATGGACAATAGAAGAAATAAAGAAGAACAAGAGCTATTTAGAAAAAGGAGAAAAAAAACCTAGATGTATGTGAAGTGTGACCAAAGTGTAAGTAGGAGTAGCAAGATATCCCTGTTATCTAGCGTGTTTATGAGACAGAGAAAGAAACCAGCAATCCTACCATCATGCAAAACAGTTACAGGTTTCTGTTTCACAGTCATCTGGCGTGACGGTAGTACTTCCCTGGGTGGTTGCTGTCTACCAACCTACTACCTATGTACACCCAACTATTATATTCCTCTGTACAACCATGTAATTTGTCAAAATAAACATCATAATCTTAATTTCGTAGGTTCTGTGTGACCTTTGTGGATTTACTACTTCCCCTATGAATATTATTTAATTCTCTTAACACTCTCCTTCATTCTCGCCTGCTTGATTGTGAACCTTGATACTCAACACTGCTCATCTCTCTTACATGTTTGTGAACCAACACCTTTGATACTTACAGTTAACCCTCTGTTTTCGTGATCAATCCACTCCAGAGAGTCTGACGAAAGCCGAAATTCACAAAAACTGAAACCATTTTCCCCATAAGAAATAATGTAAATCCAATTAATCTGTTCCAGACACCCAAAAGTATTAACAAAAAATAAATTTTTTAGAGATTAAATTTAGATTTACATACAGAAAAGAATGACAAATATAAAGCACTGATAAAATGTATAAATGAACATTTAACATTACACTTACCTTTGTTTAAGACTCTTGTTGGTGTATGGAAGACGGGGAGAAGGGGAGAGGGAGGACTGATTATTGTTTGGAAGAGGGAATCCCCCTTCCATAAAAACTTAGGTACCAAGTCCTTTATATTCGGTTTACTTCCCTTCTTTGTTTTTTAATGGCACTAGGACCAGCTTGAGTCACTGGATCCCTGTTGCACATAAAATTGTTCCAGGAAGCTCTGTCTCTGGCATCTCTAAGATATGCCTAAAGTGGGACAAGGCACTGTCATTGAACATGTCGCAGACATGGCCTGCAACAGCTTTGTTAGGGTGGTGTTCCTCCACAAACGTTTGCACCTCACTCCACTTTGCATAAAATGTCCTTAATCTTTGAACAGGGCACCTTCTTCCCTCTCTCTTCCCTCCTCCTCTAAGCAATTTTCCTCAGAAGTGGCTCTGTTTGCTGTTGCAGATGGTGTTGCAGCTATTCAGTAGTTAGCTCTTCACCGTGGTCCTCCACCAACTCTTCCACATCCTGGCCACTTGCATCCAACCCCAATGCCACAATAGATTCCACAACAGGCAGAGGGTCGTCAGGATCAGCCACACACCCCTGCAAAATCCTCACCTTGAACAACATTTTGGCCAAATTTTTCGTCCCAAGCAGAGTTCATTATTCTGAGGGTCTCTCACCTCCCAAGAGCCCTTTTCTATAAGGGTTATTCATTGTGAGGGATACTGAATGATCCCTATAACTCATTTTTGGTCAGTTCTGTGTCCGAGTCATGTCAAAGCACCTTTGAAACATTACTTTGTGTAAGATTTATTTTTTGAGGTTTGAAATGATCTGCTGGTCCCATGGGCTGGATGAAAAATGGTATAGGGGGCAAGAACTTCACTGAGCGATAAAACTAAACTCTTAACAATTGTCATCCAAGTCTGCAGATGAGCAGGAGCATTGTCCATTACCAAGAGGTACTTGAGTGCATTATTTTTCCAGGAGGTATTTCTTCAGCACTCAGCCAAGCCACTTTCATTGAACCAATCAAGAAAAAGTTTGCCCGTTCGTGACCCATGCCTTATTGTTAGCCATCCATACATCACGCACAAATTATCTTGGTGACACTGTTTTTCTTGAATTTCTGGGATATTATCAGAGTGATACACCAGTACAGGCTTCACTTTAAAATCCCCACAGCATTACTACAAAACATGAGAGTAAGCCTATACCTTCCAAAGGCCTTTTGTCCTGGGGAGTGCTGTTTCCTCCTGCATGATGTAGCCCTCTGTGGCATTTTCTTTCCAAAAGAGGCCTGTATTTGTCACAAATGAACACTTGTTGGGTACGCATCCTCTAGCTCTACATACGCCTTGAATTTTCATAGCACAGATTTTCTCAGCCACACTATGTCTGGACTTGCAGCCCTCACCATGCCACATCTGCTTCTGAATTTTTCGAACCACCCTTTGCTGGCCTTAAATTCACTAACAGCAGCACTCGTTCCAGGCATTTTCTTTACGAGATCCACATGATACTGCCTTGCCTTTTCGCAAATTATCAGCTGCACAACACTATCTCCTGCTAACTGTTTTTGGTTGATCCACACCAACGACAATTTCTCGACATCTTCGATTGTTTGTGATCTCTATTTTGTTATCACAGTTACCCCTTTTGCAACTTCAGTTTCCTTGATTTTTTTTTCTTTTGCCACGATGGAACTGATCGTTGATGTAGGCCTGCCATACATCCTGGCGAGGTCAGCCACACGTACGCCACTTTCATATTTTGCTATAACTTCTTTCTTGAATTCTATAGTGTTTCTTGCCTTCTTTACCAAAGGGCTGGCATTTGGAGCTTTGTTTGGGACCATGGTGGCTTATTTAGCAGTCACGCACAATAAACAAACGGCATAAACAACGAATATGAAATGATTCGTATGTCCTCACAGGGTTATGTTCACTCACCGAGAAACAGTGCCAGACTGACTCAATGTGTGTGTGGGAGGCTTTGTGTGCATGCGGGCACTTGGATGTGTTCCGTATGACCGACAAAAGCAGAGGAAAGTAACGAAAACAGAGCCTATATTTTTACGAAAAAAGTCGGCGATAACTGAAAATCACGAAAACAGAGCCTAATGAAAACGGAGGGTGTACCGTATTTCTTCCTATTGTCTGTCTATTTTGTATGTTTGTCATCAAGCTCTGCTGCTCTCACCTGCCTACATACCCTACACAGTATTCATTACTAAATAATATCGTGGAAAAATTATAATGAATCGCTGACTCAATGCAAATAAAAAATGGTTGACCATCAAATCTTTGTTTTTTTTTTTTTTGTGTGAGAGAGAGAGAGATATAGATCGATATAGATATAGATCGATATAGATCAATATAGATAGATATAGATAGATATATAGATATAGATACAGATGTAGATATAGATAGATAGAAGTGGCTCTGTGACAGTATACAGCAATGAAATGTTCACTTGAGAGAAGCAACAGTAATGTTAATTATTGTTATTGTATGATAGTGTGGGAAACACTGAACCCATTGGGCTCATGCATTGCATGGGGAATGTGAGGTGATTATGTTTGATCCAAGGAAGGGGAGGGTAGCTTGAGGTCTTTGGACCAAGAGCCCTTCTCCAACAAAGAGGGCCTTTTTTTTTCCTTGAAGGAACAATAAAGTTTGTGCTAGTTATAGTTCCTTAGTCTTAGAGGGTTAATTTAGATGTATTTCATATAATTTTAAACTTGAGAGCTGAGAGAATCACATAAGGTGTAAAAGATAATGCAGTAAGCTCTCTTATAAAGCTCCTCTCTATACAAATAACCCACATGTAGGAGAAGCTTATGTCAGTGTTTCAGTTCAACTTGGACCATTTACAGGTCACACTAAGACACAAAGGTGCAGGAGCCATTATGCATAATACATGTTATTCAATTACTTGTGCACTTTTAAACATAATTGCATAAAAATCACAATTTATTTTGTATTTCTGTTTACAGATGAGCAGGATCACCAACAAATTATATACAAATATCAACACAGCTGTGCCATTTGAAATTCACCTTAAGAAACCTATCAAGAAACAAAAGTTCTCCATTCAGGCTGTGCCAGTATTTTCTAGTCCACAATTTTTGCGCCATAATGTCAATCGCTGCCCCAACCATGCTGCACCAACAGACTCGACCAATCATGGTACATTATACTTCATCTTATTTTTTGACTGTTTTTATGTAGAGTTGTTAGGTGTGAAATTTTAAGGGAAATAAGATTTATTTACAGGTAGCTCATAAAAGAGACACATTATGCAGTGTTTCAACTCTTCCTAGAAAATTAACAAGTCACAACTGAGAGAAAAAGTGGAGTAGAAGTTAGGTCAGGTGAAGAGGTTAGGAGACAGTCAACATGAGGTGAGGTGATACAACATCCAAGGTCAGGTCAGGTGAAGAGGTTAGGAGGCATTCAACATGAGGTGAGGTGATACATCATCCAAGGTCAGGTCAGGTGAAGAGGTTAGGAGGCAGTCAGCATGAGGTAAGACAACCAAGGTCAGGTCAGGTGAAGAGGTTAGGAGGCAGTCTAACATGAGGTAAGACAACCAAGGCCAGGTCAGTGAAGAGGTTAGGCTATCAACATGAGGTAAACCTGGGGGGAGGGTTTCGGGAGTCAACACCCCTGCGGCCCTGTCCATGATCAGGCCTCATGGTGGATCAGGGCCTGATGAACCAGGCTGCTACTGCTGGCAGCACAGAAACCAACGTACAAGCCACAACCTGGCTGTTCAGGTACTTGCTTCAGGTGCCTGTCCAGCACCTTGAAGACAGCCAGGAGTCTATTGGTAATCCCTCTTATGTATGCTGGGAGGCAATTGAACAGTTTTGGGCCCATGACATGTGTTGTCTCTTAGCGTACTCATGGCACCCAAGCTTTTCATTGGGGGGATGCTGCCTCTCCTGCCATGTTTTTTGCTTTCATAGGGAGTGATTTTCATGTGCAAATTTGGGACTAGAACCTCGAGGATTTTCCAGGTGATGACACTGTGCTCTTGGGAGATTCTGAAGAGAAGTTGCAGAGATTGGTGGATGAATTTGGTAGGGTGTGCAAAAGAAGAAAATTAAAGGTGAATACAGGAAAGCGTAAGGTTATGAGGATAACAAAAAGATTAGGTGACGAAAGATTGAATATCAGATTGGAGGGAGAGAGTATGGAGGAGGTGAATGTATTCAGATATTTGGGAGTGGACATGTCAGCAGATGGGTCTATGAAAGATGAGGTGAATCATAGAATTGATGAGGGGAAAAGAGTGAGTGGTGCACTTAGGAGTCTGTGGAGACAAAGAACTTTGTCCTTGGAGGCAAGAAGGGAATGTATGAGAGTAAAGTTTTACCAACGCTCTTATATGGGTGTAAAGCATGGGTGATGAATGTTCCCGCGAGGAGAAGGCTGGAGGCAGTGGAGATGTCATGCCCTGAGGGCAATGTGTGGTGTGAATATAATGCAGAGAATTCGTAGTTTGGAAGTTAGGAGGAGGTGCGGGATTACCAAAACTGTTGTCCAGAGGGCTGAGGAAGGGTTGTTGGGGTGGTTGGGAAACATGTAGAGAGAATGGAAGGAAACAGAATAAACTTCAAGAGTGTATCAGTCTGTAGTGGAAGGAAGGCGGGTGGGGTCGGCCTAGGAAAGGTTGGAGAGAGGGGGTAAAGGAGGTTTTGTGTGCGAGGGGCTTGGACTTCCAGCAGGCATGCGTGAGCATGTTTGATAGGAGTGAATGGAGACAAATGGTTTTTAATACATGACGTGCTGTTGGAGTGTGAGCAAAGTAACATTTATGAAGGGGTTCAGGGAAACCGGCAGGCCGGACTTGAGTCCTGGAGATGGGAAGTACAGTGCCTGCACTCTGAAGGAGGGGTGTTAATGTTGCAGTTTAAAAACTGTAGTGTAAAGCACCCTTCTGGCAAGACAGTGATGGAGTGAATGATGGTGAAAGTTTTTCTTTTTCGGGCCACCCTGCCTTGGTGGGCCATCCTGCCTTGGTGGGCCATCCTGCCTTGGTGGGCCACCCTGCCTTGGTGGGAATCGGCCAGTGTGATAATAAAAAAAAATAATATTATGTATCTTACTCCCCTGCATTCCAGGGAGTACAAATCAACAGACTTCAACTGTTCCCAGTTATTTAGGTGTTTTATCATATTTACATGTGCCATGAAAGTTCTATGTATATTCTCCAGGTCTGCAATTTTACCTGCCTTTAAAAGTGCTATTAGTGTATAGAAATATTCCAACCTAGAGAGAACAAACAGTTTGAAGAGAATCATTGTGGGCTTGGCATCCCTAGTTTTTAAACTTCTCATTATTCATCCTATCATTTTCCTAGTGGATGTGGTAGATACATTGTTGTGATCTTTGAAAGTGAGATCCTCTGGCATTATCACTCCCAGGTCCTGCACATTTATTTTTCGCTCAATTGTGTGGTTGGAGTTTGTTTTATACTCCGATATAGTTTTAATTTGTGTGAAATTGGCCAAATTGCCAATTTCTGACCACTATATTGGGTAGTTGAAATAAGTGAATGGGCAGTTTCTTGTACTCAGTCAACTTACTAGAAGTAAGTAAGTTTATTCAGATATACACAAATACAGTTACATAGATTATCATACATAGCAGTGTATGTATAGAGAACCTGGGATAACCCAAAAAAGTCAAAGTGACTTATTTCCAGTACCTGGCTTGGGCTTGCCATATATGATTTTTGGTAAATATTTTTTTTTCTCGGTTGTTTGTTGGGCTATCTTATTGAAACTTGGGCAATGTATGATGGAAAGATGCTTCTTAACATACAACAAAAATAAAAAAGATGGACGATAAATAAGGGAGTTCCTATTTGATAGAATGGAAGATATATTACAGAAATAGACATGATTTTGATTGCTTTCATGATGAAAAGTACCTTGAAATTGAGGTCAAAATAGCAGAAATGTTCAATTTTTGCTGATGTTCAATGAACTTTGTGCAAGTCAAGTTGGTTAATTTTATTAAATGTATTCTAAGCTAACCACTGTGTAATACGGCAAACTCAGTAATCCGGCACACTACAGGTCCCAATGATGCCGGATTTGTGATGGAGGACCTGTAATTCATTTTTAGTTTATAATGTAATAGATACTCAACCAAGCAAAGTGAAAAATTACTTAAACAAAAGTAGGACTCACAGGTAAGAGAGATGTGTATGTTGTAGACTATCAGATCTGTCTGAGAGTCCAAGAGCAAGACTCTTGGACTCTCAGGTAAGAGAGATGTGTATGTTGTAGACTATCAGATCTGTCTGAGAGTCCAAGAGCAAGACTCTTGGACTCACAGGTAAGAGAGATGTGTATGTTGTAGACTATCAGAATGTCTGAGAGTCCAAGAGCAAAAACCTTGGACTCACAGGGAAGAGAGAGTGTATGTTGTAGACTATCAGATCTGTCTGAGAGTCCAAGAGCAAGACTCTTGGACTCACAGGTAAGAGAGATGTGTATGTTGTAGACTATCAGATCTGTCTGAGAGTCCAAGAGCAAGACTCTTGGACTCTCAGGTAAGAGAGATGTGTATGTTGTAGACTATCAGATCGTTTTGAGAGTCCAAGAGCAAGACTCTTGGACTCACAGGTAAGAGAGATGTGTATGTTGTAGACTAAACAGATCTGTCTGAGGTCCCAAGAGCAAGACTCTTGGACTCTCAGGTAAGAGAGATGTGCATGTTGTAGACTATCAGATCTGCCTGAGAGTCCAAGAGCAAGACTCTTGGACTCACAGGTAAGAGAGATGTGTATGTTGTAGACTATCAGATCTGCCTGAGAGTCCAAGAGCAAGACTCTTGGACTCTCAGGTAAGAGAGATGTGTATGTTGTAGACTAACAGATCTGTCTGGAGTCCAAGAGCAAGACTCTTGGACTCACAGGTAAGAGAGATGTGTATGTTGTAGACTATCAGATCTGCCTGAGAGTCCAAGAGCAAGACTCTAATATACAACACTCTCTCTCTCTCTCTCTCTCTCTCTCTCTCTCTCTCTCTCTCTCTCTCTCTCTCTCTCTCTCTCTCTCACTCTCTCTCTCTTCTCTCTCTCTCTCCTCTTTTCTCTCTCTTCTCTCTTCCTCTTTTCTCCTCTCCTCTCTCTTTCTCTCTTTCTCTCTTTCTCTCTCTCTTTCTCTCTTTCTCTCTCTTTCCTCTCTCTCTCTTTCTCCTCTCTTCTCTCTCTTTTCTCTTTCTCTCTCTTTTTTCCTCTCTTTCTCTCTCTCTTCTTTCCCCTCTTTCTCTCTCTTTCTCTCTCTTTTCTCTCTTTTTTTCTCTCCTTTCTCTCTCTTACTCTTTTCTCTCTCTTTCTCTCTCTTTCTCTCTCTTTTTCTCTCTTTCTCTTGCTTCTCTCTTTCTCTTCTCTTTTTTCTCTCTCTCCTCTTTCTCTCTCTTTCCTCCTCTTCCTTTTCTTCTTTTCTCTCTCTTTCTCTCTCTTTCTCCTCTCTTTCTCTTCTTTCTCTCTCTTTCTTTCTTTCTTTCTTTTCTTTCTTTCTTTTCTTTCTTTCTTTTCTTTCTTTCTTTTCTTTCTTTCTTTTCTTTCTTTCTTTTCTTTCTTTCTTTTCTTTCTTTCTTTACCAATGTTTCATATTTGTGTCCAAGTGGTGTCTTACTCTGCATTATTATTATTATTATTATTATTAATTATTATGCATGTTCAGATTAAGACTTGCTTTAAGATTATTTATGTTCTCTTTTTCCATGAATGTATTGCTTCTCAATATTTATGTAATGAATAAACCTCCCGTGTTTACATTAAATATAGTAAAATCCCAGATTTAATGGACTTTGAAATATGACACATCCAGTGAGTCAACCAATTTCCTAACAACTGCAAAATGTTTTGTTACAGAATTGTGTTTATTATTGTAACTATGACAAGCAGTGTCAAATCTATTCACTGCAGTTGCCATTACCAGCCACACACACTCCCCACCCCTTAGTCCATTAAATCAAGGCTTTAATTATTTTAAATGAGTTTGGTCCTGATCACACAGGATTCTTGTCTTCAGGTAGACTTAGTTATTGATGTGATATAGGTGTCTCATGATTTTTGTAGCTTTGCATGCAGATTTATTTTTCTTTATTGGACAAGCTTGTTTTTTTCTTTGTCAGATTTTCTACACCCTGAGCATGTAGTAAGGG